CAAAAAATCACTTCACTTTTTGTTTATCAATGTGTTTTCCCCGTTCTTCTTTATTGTTCTCCGGTGGTTTTTGCTGGTCTACTAAAGAAAGACTTCAAAATTCTTCGTCGCGGTTTGTCGATCATCAGTCGTGTGTCTTTTATACCCGTTGATGAGCTATCTAAAAAACTGTGAACTTCACTTGTCCGCATGTGAAACGTTTGCCCAGAAAATCCTTGCTGACCCCAACCATCCTTTACATGGTGATTTATCTAAATGCTGCTCTCATACGTTCTTCTTATCGATTATTAACCTCTCGCATTAATCTCTACAGAAATTCCCCAGTTCCCTATCTTGCCAGAATCCTTGTAAATCGAGAGCGCGCTTCCTCAGAATTTCTCAGTAACCTTAAAGGCTAAATATTTTATTTGTATCTTGCCTTCTTTGATGAGATGTGTAAATTTTTCGACTGAAATGCAAACATTCTGTTCTCACAAAAGTCTATACAAATACAAATACAAGAACCATTTAATTCCGATAAGAGAAAATTCCGTTCCTTTTTCTAGTTCCAAGATAAATTCAATAATATTTGAACAAATTAATAGATAAGCGGAATGAAGATTTTGAAACAATAGAAGACGAGTAATTAATAAGTTCGAGGAACTATTAAATTCAATCGGCATTATTCTTCTGAAATTTTTCACAGCCTAAGTCCAGATGCAGAAAGTGAAGAGAAAGAGGAAGAATGGCATCTTGAGCAACTTCAGAATGAATAGGAAAGGTATTTGAAAGAGAAACATCAAGGGAAGTAATCTGACGTGTGTTCGTGAAATAGTTCCCAATCAATGGTAGAAGGGAAGAGGAGACACACATTATGTAACATAGATAGGAGTAAAGCTCTATCAGCTCTATTCCACGAATTATTGTAATCGAGAAAACACAGCTGAGAAGGCTTCTCGGTGCGACTGAGTGAGAGTTTGTGCGGTATTCCCGGACATCTAATGTTCATCTAGTGGTAAAGTAATCAAACTGACGAGCATTAAGAATATCAGTGCATGATCAGTCACGTAAAATTACGAGTTTCACAGAAGGGTAGATGTACTGGTCTTCGGAAGCCAGCTATAGTTTCCACTTCGATACATTTGTTGACAAGTGCCACAAGGAACTCTGCTGCACAGGTAACACCGACCTTAACTACGGTAATTTGAAGTTTATCTGGCGCCGCATTCTTCCTTACTTCAAGTCTCCTGAATAGATTTCGGTTAGGCTCTTTAGTCAGTTTTGGTAACCATACATTGAGGGTCCTTGTGGAACAAAATATTTGATCGAGTTTTACAGCCGTCTGTTTTTGCCCTTACGAATTAGAACACAAACCACCAAGTTTTCTTTTTACTGTGTTCCAAACTTGAATATGGCAAAAATTTTAAAGCAAAGCCTCGATGCAGAGGCACTTCATTCTCTTAATTTCGGCCCTTAACAAAATTATGCTCTAGTTCAAAGACTAACGTTTTTTAACTATGTAAGCCTGATATTTTCCCATATAACTGATTTAAAACGTGGATGCTAATCTGGTCGACTGTATGTACATATCTCGATTCCAATGGGCAGTACATGTCCCAGCAAAACTTTCGGATGGCTTTACTAGACTACGCAACATTGCTCCAATTTGGTGGGGCACCCCTACAACCAATACTGAGGTTGGGCGCAGAGTTTTAGGTAACCGAGGTCGTCCACTGAAACAAGTGGTCGATCTCCATAGGGTACGCTAGTCGGGGCATGTGGTATGCATGTCGTTAATTAGATTGCCACGGTGCGGGATACTTGTCTAGGTAGGTAGTAGGTAGAAAAAAGGGTAATCAAAATAAG